GTCCAGTAACAGATAGGGCACCATGAAGGAGTAATAACAGAACTTCACTGAGATAAGGATCCCAGGTAAATCAGCATTTAAATCTCAGAATAAATAATGCAGTAAGAGGACAGAAGCCAAACTGCTCAGGAGGTTGTTTATGCCAAACCTGTACAAACAGGTTTTGACAGAGACCTACAAACCCCAGATTCACCAGGAATGCCATGCCCAAAAAGAACAACAATCTCAACAGCCTGGGTAAACCCAGCTGATGGCAACTGGAAAACTGATAGAGGAAAAGTTGCTAGAAAGAGGCAAAGAGGTAAACTTTCCTCCTGCACTATTTGACAGCATCGTGCTTCAATATTTGCACTTTTCTTTACACATCTATTTAGACTAAGAAGAATATCCTTATAAAAATACATAAGCAAGCCGCGCAAGAAGAGGGCCAGCTGCTATACCTCTTCCTCGCTGATCTGAATCCACCACGTTTATTTAGTTATAATCCTTCATATAAGAAGTTTATTTATACAGACAGGGATTTCTGGAATTCTGCAGGATTAGTCAATCTACAGCATTCTCAGTGCGTGAATTTTAGCATCAGAATGACACTGCCTGGATATTTAATGCCTCGAGTAAATATTTGGGCTGATGAAGGTTAAACAGATTAGTCAAGATGAAGCCAGGGTTCTCTGCTTATTTACTCAGAAGCTTAAATATTGCTCTTCTTCATTTAAGAAGCCTTGTTTAAAAGAAAAACCCACAAAAGCAATAAACGAAACACGCTTACCCAACTTCAAGTGAGGCAGCACCAAGATTTCTATCATCTTCAGCCTGAGCCTGCATGTGACAAAGCCACACTCTGAATCACAAATCTCACACTCCTTGGGAAACGTGCAGAGGGAAACAACAGCTTCAGCACAAGCTTGCTGCTCTGAGTTTCAGCTGCACCAGGGAAATGGGATAAACAACTCCCCCACTTCCCAGTTCTATTCAAAAGCAAGAGGGAAATAATTGGTGTGAAAACCATTTGCAGTTCAGTTACACTTTGGAGATGTGAAGAGGCAGTTATGCACAACGCCTGTCTGAGACCTGATCCTGTCCCCCAGTCCTACACTGGGGAGGATTTCCAAACGTCCTCAGCAATGCCACACATCAGCTGTCATCAAAATCTGCTATAAATTCCCACCTAGTATAGGCAGAGTGGTGTTAAACTAGGTCCAATCCCTTAAACCCACCTGCTTGCAGTGCCATATGAAGTGCCTGATCCAAAGCCTGTTGGCAATGAAGGGGCTTTGGATCAGTCAGTGAAGGAATAGTTAGAAGCTGGAAAACAAAACTGTTTGATTTCACTGTTTGGTACAAATTGAAAGCAAAAGGACAAGCTATTTAATAAGAAAAAAAGACGATGTGTCAGCAGGTACAAAGCTAACACGAGCTAAGAGTTCGAGGAAGAGCAGGCAGGCATTTGGAGTTCACGTTTCAGCCCATTTGCTCAAGTTCCAACTTCCAAATCAATTCTTATTTAAAGGCCCAGACATCAAAAGCTTTTCGATTAAGGCAGGAGGAAAATGAAACTTGTGTTTCAACTAAATGCCTCTGCAGAAAACTGCTCCCACTTGCTGGCTCTCTACCCTTCCCTGCTGCGCGCCATCCATCCCCATGGAGGTTGTGTCTTGTTTACCACACTCTCAAGGATATTCGTGTACAAACTTCAGGAGCTTTGGAAGAGGAAAAAGCGCCTTCCCTCGGAGCCACGTTTGCTCTGAACAGATGTAACATTCCTAAGAAGCTCTCAGCTGACTGCCTTTGAAGTCTGGGGGAAAAAAGGCGGCTCAACCTTGGAAGCTGTATTTGTTCCCTTAAAAGAAGTCTCCAGGGACTCTTGAGAGAAATAAAGAGCAAATTCTCCAGATCCTTATCTCATGCTATTTTTGAGAGGCTTTTGTTTTGCTCCACTGCTCTCGTCATGTTTTGGATTACAGGACTTCCACACATGCAAGTGGACTGCTCACCATGCCAAATCTGTGCACCGAATTTGCGCACCACTGTGCTAGGCCAGGACACCTCCACTTCAGTCCCACTTCTGCTTTCCCTTTGTAGGTGTGACAAGAAAGATTTTAACAGCAGGCAGCTTGCGGAGAGAAGTTTGTGATTGTAGAGCATTGACCCAAAGAGAATTCCCATGCACAAGCATTCCCAAAGCAAGTCCATCCTCATGATGTGCTGGGGTCTATGCAGCGCTTACACAGCACGTGGACTTGCCCACCAACACACCTTAGAGTCATGCTGGGCAACATGGTCTAGTGGGAGGCATCCCTGCCCATCACAAGGGGATTGGAACTGGGTGATCTTAAGGTCCTTCCCAACCCAAGCCATTCTGTGATTCTATGATTCAGCAGGCACAGCTTACATGTACCCCAGAATTGTCAGTGTTGACTAAGTTACCTTTAACATGGCAGGAAGGGGCTGCTTTTTCTGCTCTGCTTCCCTCTACTGTCACCATGTCCTTGGTGTTTCTCTCCTTGGTTAGTCATAGAATCATAGAATAGTTAGGGTTGGAAAGGACCTTCAGATCATCAAGTTCCAACCCCCCTGCCATGGGCAGGGACACCTCACACTAAACCATGTCACCCAAGGCCTCGTCCAACCTGGTCTTGAACACTGCCAGGGATGGAGCATTCACAACCTCCCTGGGCAACCCATTCCAGTGCCTCACCACCCTCACAGGAAAGAACTTCTTCCTCATATCCAATCTAAACTTCCCCTGTTTAAGTTTTAACCCCTTACCCCTTGTCCTATCACTACAGTCCCTAATGAAGAGTCCTTCCCCAGCATCCCTATAGCCCCCCTTCAGATACTGGAAGGCTGCTCTGAGGTCTCCACGCAGCCTTCTCTTCTCCAGGCTGAACAGCCCCAAGTTTCTCAGCCTGTCTTCATAGCCCTATTAACCTTCTCCGTATCCCACCCACCCATATTTGCACATTATTAAGCATCCACAGCCTTTTGTTCAAGGACCTTAAATGTTCAAGGACCTTAAACAGAAGCATAACTACCACGTTTCCTGGCAAGAGATGCCTGATACCCAGCAATCACTTAGGGCAGCTCCATTAGACTCATTCCTCCTAAGCACAAAACCAGGGCACACCAGCCAGACAGGCGAATTCAAGGACACGTCCTTTCCCGAATTCCACAGAGCAAGATAAGCCCATGAGCCTTGCACTCACTTTATCTTAACTAAGAGGCTTCCCCCCTTCTCCCACTCACTTAAAACCTAATTATTTACCACCGAGGCACGGAATAGGTTAAAGTTTCCTCTGCCTTGTCTCAGCTCCCCTTGCAGATTAAGGGAAAACAATGAAGTCTCCACACTTTGTGATATTGCTAATGCTTCCTGTGGGGATAGCGGCGCTGGCTGCAAAGAGGATTATGATTACAGTTTAAAAGGAGCGCACACTGCACTGCCGCAAGAGGCACGGGCTTATCAGGAAAGAAACCGAGCTGCCCCCAAACTATGCACGTGGGACTCCTGCCTTGCCTTCGGTTCTGGCTGAGGGCTCTGCCTCGGCTCACACACCCGCTTATCAGCAGTGATAAAGCAGCAGCTGAGCTTGCAAGGGGTATAAATGAGTAACGCTGCGCAAGCAGACTGCATGGGTTTACCATCAGAACAGACAGCGGTGTTTACAGATCATCCCAGCACATTCAACAGGACAGGGAGCTGGGCAGGACACAGCGGAGCACAGGGCTGTGCATTTCTGGATGCAGTGGGGAAATCTCGACAGAAAAAGTGTTGGTGGAGCTGTGCTGGCTATGGTGGTGTTGCCTGGAGTTCCATAGGGAACACAGGAAATGCTTTGAAGAGCACAGCATCATCTGTTAGGTCTGCTCTGAGCAGAGCTAGCTTGCAGCTACAGCTTCAAATCATAGAATCATAGGATGGTTTGGGTTGGAAAGGACCTTAAAGCTCATCCAGTTCCAATCCCCTGGCACGGGCAAGGACACCTTCCACTAGAGCAGCTTGCTCCAAGCCCCTGTGTCCAACCTGGCCTTGAACAGTGCCAGGGATGGGGCAGCGACAGCTTCCTTGGTGCATGTGAAGGACCTCTGTCAGCCTCATTGCTGTGCACAGAGTTGACTCAGTTGAAGAAAGAATAATAAATCACCACTAAGCATTCATAAGACACATTGTCCATCACTCTGGGATCTCTAAGGTACCTGAGGAGGACAGCAGTTTACTCACACCCATACATCTCTACCAGCTATTACCAGAGACAGAGAACAATATTTTTCTTATAACACCAAGGTTTTGGCCAAGCCAGCCATCAAAAATTCCTTGACTTCAAGGAGTGCTTAACCTAAGTGTAAGGATACAAGTAGTGGCTAATGCCTAGGTCAACATGCCACTTCTTTCACACCTAATAGTCATACAGTTCAAACCAGACAGGATGAGAACTTGAGTCCTCTTGAAGTATGGGGTAGACATGTTCTGCTGATGTCTGAGAGGGTTTTGTTGGTTTGTTTCTTGGTTGGTTTGGTTGTTGTTTGTTTCTAAAACACTATCATTGTGCTTTTTCTTCTCCAGGTTACTTCTACAACTAACAGAAGTTATACAGATATTCCCCTCATCCCTAATTCTGTTCAGAGGGGTTCAGTAGCTCCCTGTCTGCTTCCTAGAGGCTACAGCTGGTGAGCAATAGCACTAATGCACGTTCTCCTGCATTTTCACAGGCTTAGACAAAACTGAGCTTCACAACTGTCTCATCATAAAGTGTTGTTCGAAGCAGTCTTTGTCACCTCCCACCACACACCAGACCAAACCCTACAACGAGTCCCAGTGCTGAGCATAGCAACAGTTTTAAGATGCTTACAAGGCACTTCCATGAATTGCTGCATGCCTTCAACCAAGCTGTTTGGCTCCTGCAGAGGTCTGAGGTCTCCAGGAGTCAGGGAAAGGTGGATGCTTTTCACTAACCAAACCAAACCTTGTGCTAATACAGTTCATGCACCTCTCTACCAACCTTTGCTGCTGGGTGCCAGACTCCTCTGGGTTCCCTCTCTATCCAGTTTTCCTCACCATTAATCTCTGTGGAAGAGAAGAAGAAACGGAGCTGAAAGACCAAAGATTTGCCTGGCTTATGGCTTTTAAAACACAACACAAAGTAAACCAAAAACATTTCCATTAACCTGCCTTCAGCAAACCTGTGCTTTAAGGGACTTTCAAGCCCCTGTAGAGATCTGAATTCCAATTGACCTAATGTTTCTTACACTCTCTTATTCTCTGAGAACAATGGGGGCAGAGACATTTGCAATAATCAACTAAGTCACCATCTTTCAAACCTGAATCAAGTCATCATGTAGGGCCTGAGCCTTGGGAAGGCAAAACTTCAGTGTGCTTCTCAATGGCACATCCTGAGAGCCAGGTGACTTCAGGTATGCAAAGAAACTTCATACCTGAGAAAAAATGTCCTGCTTGAAGTTAAGTGTTTTAAAGATTATCTAAGGAGATTAACAGGATTATTTGATAACAGGGTCTGCATAAGGCAACAGTGAGAGGAAAGGCAACTTTAGTGAGGAGGACTAATACAGCAGCAGCAGAAATAACAATCCAAAGAGATCTATCAAGGTGAGGGTTGAATAAGTAGGCTTTTAAAAACCCAAATTGATGGAGTGCATTCAGGTCTAGATAAAGGCACTTCTTCATCACCTCTGCAGACAAGTCATTTTCTTTTTGACAATGTGGATATTGAATTGTATCAACAGCATCAGGACAAGCTTTCCACTCAAATCTAGTTGATAAGCCTCTGCTCCTTCCAGCCTCGGTGGCTCAGAGGGAGACTTTGACTGACAGGGGCATACATTGTCATACTATAGAGACCTTTGATACCTTCTGCAGAAGATGGGCTGTTGGTTTAAAACAAAGGAAAAGCAGACACAGTAAGCACACATCACTTTGCCAGGCACCACTAGCAGTGATGCAGATGGAAAAGCATTTTTGCAATTGCCAGCTCTCAAAGTTTGGGCAGAACCTATCAAAACTGCTATCCAAGAGAAGGCTGGAAGCAAGGAATGAAAAGCAAAAGCCCTGTTCGAGAATGCAAGACTAAGCCTGCATGAATTCTACCTTCATCAAGGTTTAATTGAAGATACAAGTTATTTAGATAGCTGAATGACTTTCAGTAGAGACCAGGCACAGAGAAAATTGCATTGCAGCCGCAGTAAACAGGAGAAGCAAGATCAGTTCACCTTAAAACACGTTGCCTTGCAACATGGGCTTTAATATCAGCTGCAGTGATTCATTTTATAACCCGCACAGACTCACCAACGCATTTCTCACCAGTCATCCCTACCACAGCAACAATCAAACCAGGCTGGACTGCACCGACCACATCACACCAAGGAGCTGCACACTTCTGTGGCCTCTTGAGCCTTCTTACCTGAAGGACATTTAGCATTCTAAACACTTCAAAGCGGAGAGTGCTTGCTGCCCTTCATGGACACGTCTCACTCTGCCTGTGCAGAGACTTTGGTATATCAGCTTGTGGAATGCAATTTATACATTTCTCAAAACCAATCAGAATCCCTAAGCTCCTACAGAAGGAAATGAAAAAATATTAATGTCAAATGCCCATCAGAGCTAGAAGCCTGGGTGACTGTCATACGCTGAAGAAATTAAAAGGCTGCATTTGAGATAGGGATTGGGAGAGCATATACTACCCTGAAAGGCTCTGATTAAAGTGTTCTTAGTATCAAAATTCAATTTCTTTCAGGTTTTGCAAACAACAACGGCCTTGAGCTGAATGCTGCCAGCCTGCCTGCAGCCTTTGAGGAGATTAGGTTATTACCAGCCAGCTACAAGAACCTTAAATCCAGTATTAATTCTAATTCCCATTTAACCACATGCTCATTGTGCAGTGAAAGCTGGCTGTACATGAACTTGCACATGTATTCTTCCATGTGCAATGGTCTGTGTCACAAACAACAGATGCTAAACCTCATGTATGTTTGAGAAACACATTCTGACCTTGGTTTCCAGAAAATCCCAGTAAAGGAGAAAGACTGGAGCAGGGGAAAAAGGGGGCCAAGCTGGAATGATTGCTGGGAGATGATGGGATTGGGACAGTTTCCAGCCTAAAAGCTTTTAGCAGCCAATAACAGGAGATTTCAGCCCTTGCGTGGAAGAAAACAGGATGTGTAGCCAAATCACAAGAACATAGAAGCATCTGCGACCCTGACCCCATAATGCTGCAGTGGTGCTGCCAGTATTCCATCACCAACACCAAACCACTCCGATGATAACCACTGAGACTGCCAAAAGTTCTGCCCATCACCATGGGCATGTTCACTCTGTCAAGACAAGCTTTGGGGGGCAAAAGAGTCAACATTTCCTCTGAGCAAGCCCTTGTTCCCCTCTCCTAGAGGTGTGCATGGCTCCAGGATGACAAGGCTTGGGCAAGACCAAGTCATTTAGCACCTAGGAATGGTACAGAACCTACAGTCAAAGCAACTGAAGATGAGGACACTGCTGCTTGATCTGCTATCAAATGGGACAACTTTAATTCAGTTGAAAAAAAAAGGCTCTCACAGATATCTGGAAAAACATCCAGTAATGTTTCCTGTGTTTAAAGCACAAGAATTCACTGCAGATGAAAGGAACCTTTCAGGAAGCACATTCCCAAGAGAACAAAAATGTCTTTGGCACCAGTGCCTGTTACAGGGAACAGGACCTCCCTACTGGCAAGGGAGTCAATAACTGCTGGAAAAGGCAAAAATACATGTATTTTTAAGCAGGTTGCTGAAAAACTCTCTTTCCATCAACCCCAAACTCAGCAGCCCGAACTCCACACACTACAAGTGTTGTGAGACTTAGAGGCAATATTCTCTAATAGGAGGCATAACTAAATCTTCCTTCTCCTGGCAACTGGCTATTACCTATTGCTGGGTCACCAAGACACTCAAGTGGAGACCCCAGTAAGAACATGGACTACTGGAATACCAGTAGGCTGTACATCAAGTGAGCTGTGGTAGCTCTCCATGTGCTCATCCCCTGCAGCTCATGTGAGATAATTTGATTTAGCAGCTATATTGCTGAACCTTTTGTTTGCCATGGGCTACGACCACACATGGACCCAACCACAGCTCATCCAACAGCCTGTAATTTGACTGAGCACCTGCAGACAGGTTCATATAGCCTTTCTGCCTAACTTCAAGTCGCTATTTGAACCAAGCACCTTCCCTTTCCCAGGATGTGACCTACCCATCCTGCTGGTGCATAACCTGGGGCAAGGTGTCTTCAGTCTTGGGAATCTGGAACTATGAAGCTTCTTGGTTGAAATAATTACTGCCACAATGAAGATTGAAATCTCTCAGGGCATAACAACCCCAATATGCCAAACCTCTGTTTCTCCAATAGGAGAGCACGTATGTCTAGTCTGAGCAAACAGGGAACTTTCCCTGTTTACTGCCATGGGCTGCATCTCCTACCACCCTTCTCACCTCAGAAACACAGACTTGTACATACAAATAAGGCCAACAGATGTGGCCTTGGCAAGCTTTAGACAGTGCTTTCTGACAGCCAGCCTTTCAGCACCCCTTCTTTCCTTATTCAGTCAATAGAAAGGAGAATTAGGGCTTTTAAATTATTCAGGTAATTACAAAAATAAAAGGAAGAAGCATGATTTTAATAAAACAAACACCTGCACTGCTTTCTGTCAAAGAGCATGACCCATCCCTTTCCAATAAACACCCTTCACACACCATGCAAGCATATCCAGCCCAGCAACCTGCTTCACAGGCTCAACCAAAAGCCCTACCCTAAATGGCATGTTTCTTCAGAAAAAAAGTAGGGGATTTTGTTTTGCATTTGTGTTTAGTATTTAATCTGCAGAGATTAACTGCATACTTCACCACTGAAGTGAGGTTGATATGTCATGGACATGAATTCCTCTGTAAATCCTACTTTTGCCTCTGCCAATTCCATCTTTTAGCATGGAAGAAGGGGTTGTGTTAGAAGAATGCAGCTTGGGCTCTTTACACACATAAAGAGCAAACAAACTGCAAACCAGTTGCACATCTTAAGATTTTTGTCTGCAAAACAACTATGGACACGATAAGAGCCATGAATTTATGTAGGTGATCTTCAGTCTTCAAGATGAAGCAAAATATACTTCGTACAAGAAAACAAGTAAGTAAATCAGCAAAAAGAGTTTTTTCCAGAGACCACAAACATTTCAGGGGCAATAATTTCTTATTAAAAGGTATTGTTTGCAATACCTAAAGCCATTCTTACCTTATTGAGAAAGGTAAGAATGAGAAAGAAGAGCCCACTGAAAACAGCCTTTAAGTACAAATGAGATTGGTGAGCAGATGGCAACTGGCCATGATGGATAAAAAATAAGGAGGGAGGAGAATATCTATTCCTTCTCCCAAATGTATAAATACACATACACTTTCTCAAATAGCAAATTTGCTAAATCATGCTAGATGTCACAAGTACCCCAATGCTTAGGGCACTATGCACCAGCTGTATCTTCATATCATGTAAGACAATCCAAGTCAAAACAGTTTTCCCCAACGCTGATTTCCCCAGTGTCCTATCCAACCTAGCTTAGGATGCCCCAAGCAAAGCAACAACTTATCATGCTGAATGAGAAAAGAAAAGCCTATTCCACAGTCTCTCACTGCTATCTAGTCCCTTCACCTTGCTTCATCTGGTGCCCTCCTAGTACCAACCCCAAAATGATCCCTGCAGCAATCCTCTTTATACTGCTCCCTTGCTGCTGCCCCAGGGTGGTATGTGTTGGCAGCCATACTTCAGCTGCAAAATGAAAAATGCTGATGATTTGAAGATAGGAAGTAAGCTGGCAGCTAATATTTAACAGTAAATATGGCTAAAAAACACCCTAAACCGCCCAAACACTGAAACACTGAAACCTGAAAGCCACAACCTGAATGGCAAAGATAACCCTGCAGCTCAGTGATTTGGGCTCTCCTGGGGGCTGAAATTGCCTCGCTAGACCTGATTAAAAAGATAAGCACAGACAGACCCATTGCCTTGAGATATGTCAGGAGACAGCTAAAGGAATG